AAATCGAACCAGGAAGTGCTCGCCGTTGACTGCGGTACTCCAGCTCAACGAGAGGAATACCGCGGAGTCGACGGGGGAGCCTGCCTGCCGCGTGTGGACCACGTCTGAACCGCGGTAAGTTCGAAGTAAGGTATGTCGACTTCAGCTACGTTATTCACGTAGCTGAAGTTGCGTACCTTACTTCGACTTGGGGGGTTAGTGTAGACCAGGCCTAACTAATTCATTGGGAATTCACATGATTACACACTTCCATTGAATTCTTGAGAAAATTAGGGTAATGGAGGCAGCATTACTCCATTGCTGCTGGGTACAGCATGGGTGTACAGCTGTTAGTGAAATGCGTGGTGCCTGTTGACTTTTAAAGCAGATTCATAAGGTAGACAGTACCACACTATTCCATGAAACAAACTACAAGGAAATCAGGCCTGTTATTCCCAGAGACCATCTGTGAGAATTGCCAGCCAGGGCCCCTGGCCACTCCACTCTTCTGTTTACCCCCACATTCATCATGGAATGATACATGTAGCTCCAGCTGTGTCCTTTCATGCTGATTCTTTGAACATGGCCAAGTACAAGCAAGCTCTGCTTTTTGATCTCAGCAAGAAAATTTTCTGAGTAATTGCCAAACTTCACCTGCAACACTAACTTGAAACTACTGCCCTGTTGTAAAAAGGAGCTTAAATGATCAAAGCACATATAAAGCAACTTTTCCATTGACCTTAAGCCTCAGCAGATGTGTGGATGAAGTGGTAGCCAACATGCTGCTGTTTGCATATCTATTTTGCCACAGATAGTTACTACAGATTTTGCTGAGCCATATAAACTAGAACACAGCAATGGGTTGTATCCCTCAACCAACACTACTGCCCGGGTGGCGAGAGGATGTATTCTCTGTTGGTTAACTCTAGATCTATATCCAAGAGGGCACATGTTGTCTCAAGCTGCCTTCAAGTAGCCCCAATATCCTCCTAAACACTCATTTCTTCTTTGTTTTCCTTCTAATTAACTGTTGCATGAGAGATAATTATCTATGTGGACCTTGATTCCTAGAACTTGAAGGAATGCAAAAAGCTTCTGCAAATTGGTGTTGACATTGTACAGCATTTACATCTCTTCTCCATGGATGATGTTGGAAACCACCCTAAGTCTAACTTTCCTTTACTCTGCAAATCATTGTCCTGGGTTACACTTAGGAGACAGCTCCTTGTTTGGTGGCCTTCTTCACCTCTAGAAAAGTGGTTCTCAACCAGGGGGTTTTCCAGGGGGTACATTAACTCAGCTAGGTATTTGCCTAGTTTTACAAGAGGCTCCATAAGCACTGGTGAAGTCAGTACAAACTAAAATTTCATACAATGGCTTGTTTATACCACTCTATATACTGAAATATTTATATTCCAATTGATTAATTTTATTATATGGTATAAATAAGAAAGTAAGCAATATTTCAGTAATACTGTGCTGCGACACTCTTGTATTTTTGTCTGATTTTGTAAGCAAGTAGTTTTTAAGTGAGATTAAACTTGGGGTATGCAAAACAAATCAGACTCCTGAAAGGGGTACAGTAATATGTACAGGTTGAAAGCCACTGCTCTAGAACATCCGCCCATCCCGATCTTTGTGAAGCTATCAGAAGAACCCTTGGGGATGAGAATGATTAGTAGAGGTATCACAGAGGGCCTTCAGTATTGGTGATATGTGCAAGGA